ACTTGACTTGGGATTTTTCCCCAATGACTCGAATGTGACATGTGACTCAGTATCATTTTTTTTCAAGTCGCATGTCAAGTCCCTGCCTCTGCTGCTGCCCATTGCTTATCTTACAAGCAAGCAGCGGGCTTGATTTCCCTTCCAGAAGCCAGGCTCACCACTTCTGGGTATCCTCAGTCTCAACAAGATAAGGAATGTCTCGGCTTCTCAAGGAAGAGGAGGAAGGAACCATTTCCCCACCACAAGTAGGAATTTATTTGTGAACAGCTCCTTTATGCCTTTTCTAGGCCTTCTGCATCCTCCTCAAACACGTTTTTTCCATACTAGTTCAACTTCACTGGGAAAGAACCAATCAGTCATCAGCTCCCAGCCAGTCCACAAGCCCATCGCCCCTGCCCTCTTCCTCCAATACAACACGGCACGTTAGTGGCATATAAACATCTCACACATGGCTTTCACCTGGCAGCTAGAGAGCACCAGTGTGCTTCTTCATTTCACGTCTGACCTGAACAGCTAGAAGGAGAAATAGAGGAGCACTAGGGGAGGGGGAGCGTTCGTGGGCGGTTTGTGCTTTGCCCACTGGGCATTCCCGAAGAGCCAGTCTCTGTCACTTTGGGCCAGCTGCACAGTCACAGGATGGCCACAGAAGGGAAAAATAAATCACTGGGAGTACTCTCCACCTGGAAAACCGAAGGGTCACCATAAGGCAGAACTGACTTGACGGCACTCGGTTAATTATTAATCATTATCTAGAGAACTGTGCTTTCTGCTCAGTTGTTGAAAAGAACAACTATTTCCTGGTGACCTGAGTTCAGCCTTTCTGGCTAATTTCTCCGCCTACTATGAAAAACCTTCTCTGGCTGAAATCTTATTCGTGGCAGAGAAAGTTAAGAACCAGAATAGGCCTTTTTGAATCAATGGGACATACAGTACTTATAAATTTAAATTAAAAATGTGCACATCCATGTCCACAGACATACTTCCTCTCCTATGGCCAAATATGTGCCCCACTTGGTTCTGCTGCTGCTGCTGTTTCTCGAGTACTTTACTTATTTTCTCCCCAAATGCGTATCTTATTTTATTTTGGCACGACACATAGTCCTACTTAGTACCAACTGTGAATAGGATGGCCCACATCCTGTTGCATATGTTATACACCTGAAGAAGAGTGATGATATCACCCCACCCCGTCTTTCAGTTGAAGACTTCCTCCTTCTATTCCATGGTTTCTGACTCCAGTGAGGGCCAACGGCATTGGGTTGATGGAGGATCCCTGCCCCAGTCACATGTCTCCCTCTCAGACCGACTGGAACAATCACAGCTACTGCCTCATCCACTTCCAGGACCTCTTTTGGGTCGGTGTGGGTCTTTTGGGTCATGGCTTGGAGAGGTGGCTGGGTCACCATTGTGAGGGCCAGTGGGGAGAAAATAACAGCTCATCATCATCATCCCTTATCCATGGCAAAGCTGACCCAGTGCCTGGTTTTGGGAGAACAGAGGCTGTTCTTCTCCCAGGGCACAGAGTTGGTGGCTCCTCTGTCCAGCCCTCTGACCCCAAGGAAGGCAACAAACCCCCTCTTCCTCTCCCTTTGAGTCCAGCTGTTGCCATTCGGCACCAACTGGGGCCTCCCCTACCAGATGTGGCTCATCTTCTCCCTTGAGCCCACTCCCACCTTTTGTTTTCCCACACCACACTGCTCTGATCCCTCTAAATTACTGAATAAATCAGAGGCATCAGAAGGCCAGAGGTTTCTTATGGGTCAGCCTCACATAGATTAACATTCCCCTTCTAGGAAGGTGGGTTTTCGCTTGCATGAAACTCAAAATAATTCATAGCATTTTAAAATAAAACATCTGATTTATCTCAATACGTTTCTAACCCATTTTTGACAGAGAAGTGAGCTTGTGAAACATTTCAAGTTGATGAACTTTATATTTTATTTTATTAAGGACACATATAAGAAAAGCATTATGCAAGGTTTTTTTAAAATCTTTTTAATTTTGTAGTATTTCATTTTATTCATACAAAGAACCATTAATACAAGAACATTAAAACAACACTATAATATAACCACTGTTATGTATCACTACTGGGATATTAACTTGTTCATTACTTTTTCTTTCCTTTCTTTCTAATCAACATACTCTAATTTTCTCCAAAAATGATGAATTTTGAGCTTTAGTTTGTCATAATTTATCGTAATTTAATATAATTTCAGTTGTTCCATTTTACCTGTAGACCCAATATATCTCCAATGATTTTTATTATTATTATGTACTTTAATTTTATACTATTGTCCTACTCCTGCTATTGACCTGTACCCTCTGATAGTGTTTGCTAATAATTCTATAATCAATGTGAATAAACATAGAGATAAGGGGCATCCTTGCCGAGTGCCTCTGTCTAAATATATTTTCTCTATTACTCTATCATTTACCAACACTGTAGCATAATACACTGTAGCCATGTGGCATACAAAAAAGCATTTCTAAAACATGAAAAATCTTAATTTCTAGATAGTAAAAATAATCATTACAAAAGAAAATCTTAGTTACATTATTTTGTCAGATATAGAAAAGAAAATCTTAGTTACATTATTTTGTCAGATATAGAAAAGAAAATCTTAGTTACATTATTTTGTCAGATATAGAAAAGAAAATCTTAGTTACATTATTTTGTCAGATATAGAAAAGAAAATCTTAGTTATATTTTTGGCAGAGATACATAAAAGAAAATCTTGCCTCTGCAAGACTTTTCCAAGCCAAATCACATATAAATGCACACACCAAAACAATCTGCTTGCCAGCACAACATTGGTAAATTACAGGTGCCAATTCTCATGTCTTCTAATTTCCTCTCTTCTCCTGACTTTCTAGCTGAATTTACTTCATATTTATATTTTTTTTCTTGTCTCAAGGGGCTTTAAGCAAGATCATAACAATCTCAGATTATCATTGCCAGCTTCTAAGAAGTGAGGTTATTTTTTATCTTTGTCAAAGCAATCTGACAATATTTATATGCTTCTAGTTACGTTCATAGTTCTACTTATCTATGGAAGTATTATATCATGGCAGCATTTTGTTATATGTCTACCAAAGGACTGTTCACAAAGAGGCTTTATTTCTCATTTAGTATGAACTGTTGAATGATTATCTGTTGCATTTAACAATGAATTATGAATCTCTGAAATTATCAGTCTTCCATTAACATACACGGTACAAAAACATTTGTTTCAGTAGGTACAGTGGGGTCTTGACTTGAGAACTTAATCTGTATTGGAAGGCGGTTCTCAAGTCAAAAAGTCTGTAAGTCAAGTCTCCATTGACCTACAGTGCATTGAAAACCGATTAATCCCGTAACAGGCCGTTTTTGTTCCATTTTGGTTTTTTTCTGGTCTGTAAGTCAAATCTCAGTCTGCAAGTCAAACCTAAATTTTGCGGCCAGAGAAGTCTGTAACTCAAAAAGTCTGTAAGTCAAGCCGTCTGTAAGTCAAGGGTCCACTGTATCAGCAAAGTTATCCTTAACAAAGCATGTCATGGTTTTGACATTGTTGTATTCAGACATTTCTTTCTTACAGGCTTTTGGCAATGCCAGCTGAACCTTTTCTCTCAAGCCAAAACTATTGTACTGTAGTGGCCAGTTCTGAAATGATGATGATTGATGATGATGATGATGATGATTCACAAATAATTTTTATTCTCTTCTTCCAAAGGTATTTTAAAGCCTTTCACTCAGCTGTGAATGACAGTTTTGTAAGCATCTGCTTAATTACTTCTCATCAGCTTAGCATGTCATGTCATGGTTTTGACATTGTTGTATTCAGACATTTCTTTCTTATAGGTTTTTGGCAATGCCAGCTGAACCTTTTCTCTCAAGCCAAAGCTATTGTACTGCAGTGGCCAGCTCTGAAATGATGATGATGATGATGATTCACAAATAATTTTTATTCTGTTCTTCCAAAGGTATTTTAAAGCCTTTCACTCAGCTATGAATGATAGTTTTGTAAGCATCAGTGGTTTTTACCTTTTCTAGCCAGGAGTCTTGGCATCTCTACCTAGGGAAGTATTTCAACTTTCTATTTTTATATTGTCTAATTAAGCAAACACTGGTTTTACTACGAATAATACATCTGCCAAGATACTTAGGCTGTCACCTAAGGTTTCATTCAGGAAATTGAAGCTCGTTGGAGAGATGTTTTTTAAAAACACTATAGTCTGATTGTTTCACAAATCATCTGGCCTCTTCATTTTTCACTAGCTGCAGCTTCTGGAGTCTTTTCAGAAGCAGCCCAACATAAGAAGGCACCATAGCACACAAATCAGAAGATAAGATGTAGATCAACACAGACACCATTTGTCCAGTGACAAAATGAATCTGGAGATCTTTCACTCATGTGCCTTGATAGACTAATCTAAATATGCAAGTAGTAGGTGTGTAATTCTTTCCATCAGATATAAGCTTTTATCATGTTTTAATGGAATTTTATTACCCTGCTCGACTTTCCTAAACAATAATTGTATGTATCTATTTTATACTGTTCTGGTTTTACTGGTCTTTGACCGTAATAAAGTATACCTATAGTCTGATTGTTTCACAAATCATCTGGCCTCTTCATTTTTCACTAGCTGCAGCTTCTGGAGTCTTTTCAGAAGCAGCCCAACATAAGAAGGCACCATAGCACACAAATCAGAAGATAAGATGTAGATCAACACAGACACCATTTGTCCAGTGACAAAATGAATCTGGAGATCTTTCACTCATGTGCCTTGATAGACTAATCTAAATATGCAAGTAGTAGGTGTGTAATTCTTTCCATCAGATATAAGCTTTTCACATAGCCTCATTCAACTGTTCTGAAGCCTGGGAAGAGGGTAGGCCCACCAACTTCCTCCTTGCATTGTTATTGCGACCACTGATGTGTGTTGAAGAGAAAGGTCCTGCTCGTATGTACACAGGAACAAGAATCCAGATCTTCCAGGGTTCTTGCTGATGTGTAGACTCTAACATAAAAGCAGGCATCTCTCCAAATTCATTATTACTAAGATGAACAAAGCCATAAGAGGGAGGCTGAGCTAGCCTCTGCTTTGTAACTGAACTGAGGGTTGCATTTCAGAAACAATGAATGGGAATAGATTGACTTTATCTATTAGCTGGAAACATCTACTTGTTTGATCTACAATTCCCAGAATGCCCCTTCCATCATAGCCAGTCACCATGTTACCAGAGGAATTCTGGGAGTTAAGAGTCCAGAAAGATAACTTATTTGAAACTGTGTGTTTACAACTATGTTACGAACAACTGCGAGAGGCACTAACGATATTATACAAAGTGTCAGCAAGGATAATTATCTGTTTGGACACTTCTAGGGCCTTAATATGAAAACACAAAGGCTAAGATCTCACCAGCATGACACAAGTGGCTTAAATCTCAGCAGTGTGCTGCCATAAATTAAGAAGTTCTCATATATTTTTGTTACTGAATGTCTCAGAATGCTTGTAGGAATTTGCCAGCATGATGTATGCACTTTTGTTAAGCTAGTGTAACAGTTCAAGAGCAATTTGGCAACTTTCTTCCTGGAACAAAAAGGAATTCCACCAGGAATGAATACGTTTAGCACATTCACAACAATGGTTCCCAGCCTTGGGTAACCCTGGACTGCAGTTTTCAAAAACTGCAACTAACTCAACTGGTGGTGAAGGCTTCTGGGAACTGCAGTCCAAGAACACCTGGGTCACCCAAGGTTAGGAACCACTGCACTATAAAATAATCAACTCAATCCACAGAGAACAAGAATCTTTTGAGAAAATTGTGAATCACCATGTGACAATGTTGTTTGAACTCCAAAATACAGAACAGGTGGGCTATTTGAACATTAAAGCTGGCATTTCAGCTTTTCACATTTAAATATTTTATCATTCATAACTAGAATGCATTTGATAGGATATCTTTAAAAAATGTAGAAAAAACCCCTCAGAAATCTAATTGGCTTCAGTAAACATATCTGTGCTCCAAATATTAATCCGTTGTGAGACCTTCCTCTGAAAGGAAATTATCAAGGTAGCAGTCAGCCGATCGCATGATCTGCCTCACGGCCATAAGGATGAGGATATCAACATTGTTCTCAAGTTCAGTCTCGAAACAGTAATTTTTGATGGGAACTATCAGACTCAGAGGGATGCCGAATTTTACTGAGGCTATCTGCATCTGTAGAGGAAATAAGAGCATAAGTTATTGTCAAGAGAACCCTGCTTCAGCTTCTGAGAAATGTCATCCCAATATTGTCCGAGTACAGCTGGTCTTGCCAAGTTACTGTCTGCATTGTTTTCTTTTCTGTCCACACTTCACTGTTAGAACCATTTACTATGTACAACATGAATTATCTTCGTTGCCAGTACCTTTCATGACAAAGTCTGTGATTTTGTACACGCATTTGCATCTGTTGGTACCACAGCTTAAATACTATATGTCAAGACATTTGAAATTTGGCAAAAACACTACAAAAACCCTGTAAAGGTGCATCTTGGGAGAATTCTTTTTCAAAAGTGGATTAATTAATCTAATTAATTAAATCAACTGGAATTTAAGAAACATGGGGGGGCAGAGGAAGGAAAAGAAAAAGTGGGAAAAGCACTGGGGTCCACAATAAGAAAGGCCAACATGAAAACACATCTGGCTGATAGGGTTACATGCTCAACCACCTGTATGTCTTTGATCAAGCTGCAAGGTCCAAGAATGCTACTAGAAAGAGGGAACTGATGAAACATTTCTGAGTGCTATAGACATAGGAAAAGGACTTTGAAGCTATAAATCCAAATCAACCTCCCTGCATTTAGTTATTCATGAGGGGCAAAGTGTTACTGGAGTGCAGTGCTCCTTGGGTAGTTTATTTATTTATTTATTTATCTATCTATCTATCTATCTATCTATCTATCTATCTATCTATCTATCTATCTATATTTATTTATTTATTTATTTATTTATTTATTTATTGGACTTATATACCACCCCATAGCGCTACAAGCACTCTCCGGGCGGTTTACAATTTTTTTATTATACAGGCTACACATTGCCCCCCCAGCAAGCTGGGTACTCATTTTACCGACCTCGGAAGGATGGAAGGCTGAGTCAACCTTGAGCCGGCTACCTGGGATTTGAACCCCAGGTCGTGAGCACAGTTTTAGCTGCAGTACAGCGTTTTAACCACTGCGCCACGAGGCTCTTCAAATAAGTTGTCAATCTTCTCAAGAACAACCAGTCCTAGACTCAAACTTTTACTTTAAAGACACAGGCCAGAAGCAATGGTGCATTTGTTATTCTACTGGAAATGCTGATTCTCCTGCCTCTGAACAGACAAACAGGTTATGAAAGTCCCTTCCAAAACAAAAGTCAAAGTTCCTCAAGCACCAGCCACCTTGCAGTCATGGCCTGGTGATCCTGAACACCTTGAGCTGCCATCAAGTGACAGTTATGAAAATGACAGAATTGCACAGGAGGAAGAGCGGAGGACCCATCGCTGCAATTCAATGGACAACCCGATGGGCGTTTACATGGAAGCAGGTGACCTGAACTGACTGAGACTGAAATGCTAGTTAAGTTTGCAGAAGACTGTAACCTAAATATGGAAAGACTGCCCATACTAAATCAGGCCCTATGTGTGTACTTATCCCGTATTGTGGTTTAAAAACATATAGCAAGGATAAGCATTCACACCACAGGGTAGTAAAACTGAAGGAAAAAGCCAGCTCTCTGTACATAGCCTGACAGGGCAAGAGCAAGGTTGCCTATTAAAACAGTGGAATCAACGTACCAAACCGCAACCAGCACTTACCTGTTCATGAACAGCTTGACTTCTGTATACATTTGAAACATTTTGTTTCACAGAAGAGCAAATTTCATCCACTTTGGTAAGTAATATAATTTGTGGCACATCTAGAGAGAGAAAATAAGTTATAAAAAGAAAAATAACATCAATCATGGAATTTGCCGTCTTGTGAATTCATTGTCATAATTGTCTTATTCTAGGAGGGAAAATGTTTCAAGTTTACTGGCCATGTTACCTGGGGAATTCTGGGAGCTGTGGTCCAAAAAGACAAATACTCATCTCTCTTAACCAGCAGAGCCAGTGGCAACACTGGCTTGAGAATTCTGGCAGTTGTAAGCCAAAGAAGGAACATTTCTAGCCAATACCACTCACTGATAAGAAATAGAGGGCCGGTGCAATCTGAAAATGGATGCATCTCTTTAGGGATAAAAACCTGATTCCAATTTATGCCAGTGCTGGGTACAATACAGTCCCTCCTTTGTGGAGCCTTGAAGTGCCTCATCATCTACTCTCCAGAAGCTTTGAAAGTTTCTTCCAAAACACAGGGCTAAATTTTTCCAGCCCGCATACCTTGAGAAGCCATGAATTTCCAGTAAAGACCACCTGTTTTACTGGAAACCACAAGTGGAGACCACACTTCTGACCCTTGAAATGGTGCTGAGCTATACTTTCAATCATTCACGACTAACTTCAACAGAGCTGAAGACACAGCTTTCTCTCCCCTGTGCTAGAGAACAGGCAGTAATCTGAGGGGACCACATCACCTTATGATTTTTTTAAAGATTCAAGCTCTTCAACACATAAGTATACAAAACTGACCCAACTCTCTAGCTTTTTGGCGAAGCTCTTTTAGTTTTGATTCCATCTTCGGAGGCAGGATTTCAATCTTGGACCCATCAATAACAAACACCATACAGTGAATCTTGTCCTTCAGAGAGGGAGACTCGATGTAGCCGGGTGTACCTGATTGTATAGCAGCATGTGGATTAAACTGGAAATAAAAAAAAAAGGTAGTAGCAGTCATAGTAACAACATGTGGATTAAACTGGAAATAAAAAAAAAGGTAGTAGCAGTCATAAATAGAGCATAGCTAGAATACAATCTGATTCCTGCAAGAAAATTGCTAGGCACAAACCGACATCAGAAAGATCTACTCAGAAAAAAAATGTGTTCCACATAAACACAAATGTCTTGCATGAAGCAAATATATTAAAATTATCTTACCAAATGGCAGAGAAAGAGAGCCTACGCAATTGTGTAATGGTTTCCCTGGGCATAGGCTTAGTGGCATAAATAACAGCAAAATGCTGCTTCACAGGCAGCTTGCCTCTCAGAGTCCAGTTATCCTGCTCTGTTTTTATGAGACTTTCACACCAAAGACCACCATATAAACATCAGTCCTTCATCTAGAAAAGTATCTGCAAATTACAGGAGGTGGCAAGTCTGAGGTCTACAGCAACATAACTTGTGACAAGTGCATCCAACTGCTGAATAGCTCAATGGTCTTGGCCAGTCATTCTCTATTGGGGCCATATGGTCCCCAGGGATCCCTTGGCATATTTGAAGGATGCCACAGATTGGAAACAATGCTCTACATACCACTTTATAAGGCTTGTCATGCAGCTGACACAATCCTGATTCAGCCTCTCTTTCTTTCATTCTGTACTTACAGTAATGAATAGCTGATCTAGGCTTCTGGCTGCAGAAGTCAGGTTCTCCACTGTGCCTCCTTAACAGCTCTGCACTTCAAAGATTTGTTGTTGTTACTCTTACTTGCACTAAGAAAACTGGGTGTGCAAAACACAGATTCCTGAATAAATATCCCTTTATTTCACATGACCTGTGGAGGGTTTAGTTATGCATCCTACCTGATACCGATCAGGAACATGTCCTTTTAATATGTTGATCACATCATCAACTTTCAGGCCGGCTCCTTCTTTTTCTTCTAGCCCCATGGTGTCACAGAAAGTGATAGGTAACATCTTCTTGTCACTCCCAGTTATAACAGGATAGGTCCTGTACTTTTTTTTTTTTTTTAAATAAAATATTAGAAAGGATATTTCTGTCCCCTTGATTTTTTTTATTTTCATACGTTACAAACTGACACCAAATACTGGCATACAGAAACAGGTTCTAAGGCTTCATAGGACTTCATTTCAGCCCAGGAAAGTCTTCAGGATGAGAAAGGAACCTCTAATTTCCAAAACGTAGCACAAAATTGCCACCTGTACCCCCAATCCCACTCACAGTGATTCAGTGGGGATTTTTATATTTGAAAGGTCTCCCTATTCAGAAGCTCCTTAAGATTTCCCCAAGTCACAAAAGAGCCCTTGGATTTCAACAACCATACTAATTTTTTTTCTAGTCCCTGCTTCTTCAAGTCTCTCTAGAGGGTGCCTCCACACCTCTACGACAGGCCAAGGTTAGCATTTATTTTGTGATGCCACCTCATGGCAGCCATTTTGAACTGCTTTATTTCCAACCATACATGTCTCCAGCACTGTTTCAGATGCCCCTCCTTAACAAGCGCACCTCAGTTAACAAGTTTAAAGCTGCAGTTCTGGGGAAGATTTATGCGTTGGTAACTCTACCCTCCATCTCACGCTACCCAACAACCAACAGAGAGTCAGAACACCTCAGATAATTCATCACTTCCAAAGTCCTGCTACTCATTCTGGCCAGAATGGAAGACAGAGGGAGGCTTCCCACAGCCCCTGACCAGCCCTCTGGGAAAAGAATGGAAGACAAAATGCCCAAATCCATTTTGTGTTCCACATATATTGTAAAATTATACAGATGTAATTTTGCCAGGAGTCAGGCCTAGGCACAATTCATAGTTCCCCCTATGGCTGAATGTGTTGCCATATCTAGGGATAGCACTTCAACTTTGGTACTATTGTAGCTACTGCACATGTACTGTCACATTATGCCTGCATAGCTACATACGTGGATTACTGGCAATAATGTCAGGATCATCTAATTAATTGGTACAGTCCTCAGGGCATGAAAGTGAGAAATTCTGGATCCAGAAGATTTCTCACTGCTTATGACACAGTTTGATGGTCTACCACTGAAGGAAAAAATAGCCAATGCTACTCCTCCGTGCATAGTCCTTTTCATGAAGGGGGGGAAATGCCTGGAAGCGCCAAGGAGGAAATGCTCTCCCACTGGTAGAGATACACCTTCTCTGCTGACCCACAGGTAAAGAGGTACTTCCACTCCATCTCATCCCCCACAATACAGCTATCTATGTAGGTTAGGATTGCTTTGCCTAACCCTGTTTAATACTGCTAGTACTGTTTCTAATACCCATAGCTATGCTACCTAGGAATTGTCAGGCAAAAAGGCTGATGTTAGTGAATATTTTATACTTGACAGATCATAGTAACCAATCTGGTTGTTTTAAGAACCCTCATCAGACACAACAACTTGTTTCTTTTTAATTTGTCGACACATTGCTATTTCATCTATCAGAATCAATTTTACTGGGTGAACTAATTTTTCAGATTGTGTTTTATGAAGACAGAAGCCTGTCTGTATTGCTTCTTCTTCTTTTCAAAAAGCCAGGGAGAAATCATTATATGCAAATGAATGAAAAGAATATTGCAGAACCAATAACACTGCTAAAGGTAGCAAAAGATTTTTAACTAGTTAATTGTTTGGAAGATGGAAGCAAACAAACACTGCACACACCTTTATCTGACTAGAAATTCCCATTCACCATCACAGAGTGTCCCCAGAACACTGTGAGACACAATCCAAGCAAAATAACAGCAGATAAATGGAGCACCAACTTCAGGCAGATTTGCTTTGATCTCAGAATGAGATTTCTAAGGTGAGCAATGCATGTAACATACCCGGTACATTTTATAAACGTTATAATTAGACATGGGGATGAATATAAAAATGAATCAGGATATTCAACGAACATCCCTGATTCATCAGATATTCGTTACTTTGTATTCTTGGGGTCCAGAGACCCCAATGAATACAAAGCAATGAATATTACCCTTTTATATTCGTCCCTGAAGAAAGTACGAAAAACCACTGGGCTAGTCAGGTCTAATCTAAGCCAAATTCCTTATGAATACACAGTGGAAGTGAAGAACAGATTTAAGGAACTAGATTTGGTGGACAGAGTGCCTGAAGAACTATGGATGGAGGCTCATAACATAGTACAGGAGGCAGCAACAAAAACCATCTCCTCCCCCAAAAAAAGAAAATGCAATAAAGCAAAGTGGCTATCCAACAAGAACTTACAAATAGCAGAGAAGAGAAGGGAAACAAAATGCAAGGGAGATAGGGAAAGTTACAGAAAATTGAACACAGACTTCCAAAGAAGAGCAAGGAGAGACAAGAGGGCCTTCTTAAATGAACAGTGCATTGAAATAGAGGAAAATAATAGAAAGGGAAAAACCAGAGATCTGTTCAAGAAAATTGAAGATATTAAAGGAACATTTTGTGCAAAGATGGACGTGATAAAGAACAAAAATGGTAAAGACCTCACAGAAGCAGAAGACATCAAGAAAAGGTGGCAAGAATACACAGAGGAATTATACCAGAAAGATCTAATGTCCCAGACAACCCAGATAGTGTGGTTGCTGACCTTGAGCCAGACATCCTGAAGAGTGAAGTCAAGTGGGCCTTAGAAAGCCAACAAGGCCAGTGGAGGTGATGGCATTCCAGT